AGAAAAATCATTTTGCAATAAGTAGCAAGCTTAGTTTTGCATATCTTATCGTGAACCTTATCTCTGGAAAGAAATAACATGTGATACCTAGAAATCCGGACAAAAGTTCGGTCGACATAAATTGTTTAAAGAGTGTTGCAAAATTGTTGCAACTTATGCTATGTTGTAGTAAATTTAATTCCCTACAAATTGCAATATATCTTTTAGCAAACAATTATTTATAATGGCGAAAAATTATCTTAAAATAGGAAGACCTCAGAAAGCGCGTGTACGCGTTAATCGATTTGCATCCGGATATGAAGAAAAGTGAGATTGTAAGACACTTCGTGTTCAAAGGCGCATCAAGGTCGACCTTGTATGATATTCTGCAGCGCAAGACGCTCAAAATAGGCTCAAAATTGAAAGACAGTATGGTGTCAGCCAAAAGCACATATTAAAAACAATTAGTACCAAGACAACAATCAAATAAAAAAAGAAGAAAAAAGTCGGATCGAACTCCGCAACAGAAGTCAGCCGTTCGTCCGAAGTGTGCCCTCCTGGCCAGAGTTTTCCGGAAAAAGAAGGTGATCATCGACGACGAGTCCAATCTTTTATTGGCCAATAAAGATCTATCTGGAAACGCTGGTTTGAAACGTCTGACGTCGAAATGACTACAGAAGCTGTTAAACTCAAGTCCAAGTTCGAGCCAAAGGTAAAGGTGGATTGCTATGTCCGAGGACGGCCTGTCGAAGCACCTGGTGACACCTTCGGGCCAAGCGATCAATCAAGATTTCTACATCCAGAAGTGCTTGATGTCAAAACTAAATCAAAACTAAATGATACTTTATAATATTATATTTAAGAGTTTATATTTAAGAAAAATTAAGTAAATATTTTGATACAGTACAAGTTTAGTCATTAAATTTTAATGCACCACCGTAGTTTTTGCGACCTCTAGACAACAAGCAATTAAAAAAAAAAAAATTAAGGAAATGTTTTTCTGATAACAGTTGATATATGCACCAAATAAAATGAAAGTAGTTATTTTTTTAAGTAGAGTTAAAAAAATAAAGAAATTGCTACTTTACAAGATGGCGACCAATATCATATGGACACCATTTAGTAAGTTTTTTCTGCATTTAATTTGATTTTGCACAGTGCAGTCATTTGAAGTCACCCTAACCCTGACCCTGGGTAACTTTGAACTTGCGTGTAACATTGAATAAAACGTGTAAATGTTTTTAATTTTTTTTTTCTTTGGTATTTTCTTTGCCTGCTGCTTTAACAAAGGATAATATAATAAATTATCCTTTTTTACAAAAGTTTGACTATAGATAATTGAATTTTGTTTCTCAAAAATAATTTTTCCCTCGATTTCCAGTTACACAGTCGAATGTGGTAATAATATCGTGTGCTGTCAATTTAGAATATTTGTTACTATATTGTAAATATCAGAATAGATTATTTAGTATCTTATTAAATTATTTTTCGAATTTTAATAAAAACTCAAAATAATAGGAAATTACATCTTGACAGACATCCATCATTAAAAGAAAATGTATCTCATTGTATTTCAAGGAAACGTGCAGAGGTTAATTATTGTCAAATAGAATTATTTTTTCAAAATCTAGAGAAGGAATTATATGGAGTAACGCCAGATAACATTTATAATATGGATGAAACAGGGTTTCATGACGACCCTGGGAAAAAAAAACTTATTTTTTGTCGATCCTCTCGCCATCCAGAACTTATAAGAAACACTGCAATCTTGTTACACTGCTGTTTTTTGTGGAAATGCCTCAGGAAAGCAAATTCCACTATTTTTCATTTTTAAAGGAAAACACAGTTGGTCTGACTGGCTTTTTAATGCACCAGAAGGTTCAAGAATGGGAACTTCTTGCAGTGGCTGGATGGAAATTCAAATATTTGAAGAGTGGCTGTAAATCACTTTGTTTCAAATATTATAAATATAGAAGGTAAAAAATTCTGATTTGTGATAATTTAAGTCCTCGTATATCTTTAAAAGCCTTAAATATATGTGAAAAGCATAATATATCATTTATATGTTTGGTACCCAATTCCACACACCTTTTACAACCTCTAGATGTTGGGTATTTCTCGAGTTTAAAAGCTAATTGGAGGTCAGTTCTTAACCAATGGCGTAAAACATCCCATGGGAAAAAAATTAATAACCTACCAAAAATTTGTCTTCGCAGCTCATTAAATCTACTCTTAATGTTGGTAAAGAAAATCTAGAACATAATCTAAAAGTAGAATTTAAGGTTACTGGCATATATCCACTCGACCCTGAAATTACCCAGTTTTACAAATATAGATATTCATCTCAATATTGGAGAATCGTTTAGGAAATATGTCGATGAAATTCATACATCTAATCTTAATTATAAAGCAAGCAAAAAATTCAAGTTACCAATAACGGCAGGGAATAGTGTATCAGCCACTGAGGTAGAAGCATACTATAAGTTAAGAGACAATAAGAAAAAAAATCAAGATAATATTCGAACAAAGAAAAAAGGAAAACCACTTGTATCAAAAAATATAATTATGAAAATAAACAAAAAAAATGTTTTACAAAGTTCAAAGCATTGTTGATGTTAATCAAGTTATTAAAGACTATGAGCAAGTTGTATCTCAAAATGATGCAGTTTCTTCATTAGAGCAAATAAACAATCACAACATACTTGTTGTGATTGTTTATTTGCTCTAATGAAGAAACTGCATCATAATTATTCGATTAAAGAGTTAGTTGTGACTCAAGACTAAAATAATGGACTTAAACACTGTTGTATTTAGTTTTATAATCACATGTGTTTATTTGTGTAGAATTATATAGAAATGATGTCTTAATTATTTTTTTCTTTTATAACCTTAAAAAATTGATCAACAAGTTCATTTGTAATATTTTATTGAAAAATTTGTTTGTTTATTCTCAATATAGTTTAATTAATTTTTTTTTTTTAATAATTTGAGCTAATACAACGAAATTTAAACAACTTTTTAGATTTAACTGATTAAAATTGACATTTAATTTAATAGTGTTCAAAGTTACCCTTAAAAAAAAAAAAAACCCTAAAAACTTTGAACCCCTACTTGAACTTTGCTTTTTAACAAAATAACTAGCAAATTTAAAAAAAAGCTAACAAACTTGAAAAAAGAGATAATCAGAACACCTTTTATGTAAAAATATTTGTTAACTAGTAAAAAAAATTTTGTTGAGATAAACCTAGCGCAAAGTGTTCAAAGTTACCCGGAATGACTCTAACACCCGCAGTGAAAAAATATAGTTGCAATTTTTCACAAAATTTTACCGAACTGTTTTATTATTATTTATTAGCCCTGGGTAACATTGTTTGAAAACATTAAAATTGAGAATGCCTTTAATCCCACAATGCATTGTGTGCCAATAATTAGTCTGAATGAAATTTATGTATCAATCAGAGTCAGCAATAAACTGCGCAGACTTACCGCATAAAAAAACAATCAATTAAGACTTTGTTTAAGTGAAATTAATTAAACATTTTTAAAACGCCTTTAAAGTTAATTTTCATACAACAGCAATGTATGAAACATTTAACTATACAGGTTATAAATAGTATTTTTGTTTCAAAATTTTAATTCTACATAGCTTAGCCTGGCAAGAATGCTGGTTTTTAACATTAAAAATCATTAAAATTGCGTTTATCAAGGTAACATTCTAAAGTGCTACAACCTTAATAAAAATCATTGTTTCTAGCAAATAGCACACCTCGTGGCTTCCACTGTAAAATAGTTTTTTATTTTAAGTCGCATATTGTCATCACAATTTTTTTATATAGATGTTTTATTAGTGCCAAATTGTTATAATATATATATATATATATATATATATATATATATATATATATATATATATATATATATATATATATATATATTATATATATATATATATATGTATATATATATATATGTATATATATATACATATTATATATATATATATATATATATATATATATATATATATATATATATATATATATATATATATATATATATATATATATATATATATATGTATATATATATATATGTATATATATATATATATATATATATATGTATATATATATATATATATATATTATATATATATATATATGTATATATATATATATGTATATATATATATATGTATATATATGTATATGTATATATATATATATATATATATATATATATATATATATATATATATATATATATATATTTCTTTGATATATTAAAAATTAAAATTAATTTTTATTTGTAAGAAAAAGTAAAAGAGCTTATTATCTTTTTAAAGTTTTGTAAAACCTTAATTTTTTAAACAAACAAAAAAGGCAAGCGACATATTTTGAACATTAACTGAATTGTAATGTCAAAATTATATTACAATTAAATTTCTTTATAAAACTAAGTAAAATATTTTTTGATAATTTAATGAAACTTAAATTAACAAATTTTTAATTTACACACACACACACACACACTTTATATCTCTACTTTTTTCAAGTCTGTAGTGTCCAGAAGCTCTAAACATGTTTGTTTACATGACCTGTTACATAAAAAAAAAATCGCGAGATTTAATGACTTGAATCTTATTGTCTTTAGACCCGGAATCCCGGAGTCCTTGCCACCATTATACCTAAGGGCTCTAGGTTCCAAAAATGATTGTTCCTCTAACCTAAAAGTCTTAATTTTTTTCCTATTAGTTGTCTAAACTTATTTATATTTTTTAGAGCTGGATACCAAAAACTAGGATAAAGTAATCTTTTTGTGACTATCAATTATGGAGCCCTTTTTGGAATGCCACGTCTCTGATATATAATATATATATATATATATATATATATATATATATATATATATATATATATATATATATATATATATATATATATATATATATATATATATATGAATTAGTAAAAACATTTATCTAATTTTTTTCTTCTACAAATTTCTTTGCCATCAGTTCATCAGGAATTCTTCCTGATGAATCTACTGATGGTGAAACAGTTTGTTTTTACTAATGTCTTTTTTTTTAATAGTAAATTACAAAATGTCAGGTCGTTTTCGTATGTCAGAAGGTGATTGGATATGTGATGATAATGAGTATGTGTTTATAAAAATTATAATTAAAATGTCAGTTTCTTTAATATTTCTTTAATTGTCACATTAGATAAGCTAATTGTTTTTATTGCATTTTAATTAATTCAAGTGTTTATACGTTTGTTTATATTTGGTTATAAAATTTTATGTTTGCTTTCATTCAGTTGTCAAAATGTAAACTTTGCTCGGCGTTTAAAGTGTAACAAATGTGGAAAAGGTAAAAAGATATGTATTTTCTTATTTAAAAGACATTCTTGAATTAATTTACATGAATGGTACTGTCTTTAATAATTTTTTCAAAAAACTGAATCAATCATGGATTAGATGAAATAATGTAGATTTAAAAGCCAGAATTATTACTATATTTTAGATAAACCATTTGTTTCAAATGGTGGCCCTTTTGTAAAAAAAGCACATGAGGTTGGAGAAAAGTTTGCTGAAAAAAGTCATGGTTTGTTTAGTGCTGATGACTGGCAATGTAGCAAGTATAAACACTAATTTTATAATATTTTTCAGATCTTTGCAAAAAAATAGTTTCTGATTGAGACACTCATGACTAACTTGTGTAAAATAGCTAGCCTAATTTAGTTAAAAATGTATACATACATATATATCAGGGATTATCTTTTTCCTGTTATTTCCAGATATTTCTTTAAAATTTTAGTTTTTCCTGATATCCAAATAGATTTCTGGAAATAGTTTAAAATATTTTTTTGTCATCCAATAGGTAAGACAGTAAAGGTATCATTCATTAGTTAATCTACCCTATATTTAGTTAGGTTACCCATTATTTGTACGCATGTAGAACTAATTTTTCCTTGTTTGTACGTGTATAATTATTATAAATTATTTTAATTATTTTACTTAAAAATCTAGTTAAATTTTTTTTTTTAACTTTATTATTAAAATTTATAAACTCTGTTCAAATAAAATTGAAAGACTTTTTTTATATATAAAAGAATTCCTCCCAAAACTTAAACCCTCAGTCAATATATGCACACTCCACTGTGCCTATCCCCATTTAAATCAGTCGATGTGTGTACACTCTGCTGTGACTATGGTTTTAACAGTTGATTTATGTATGTATTAATGCATATTCTATGAAACTTACAACATACTATTGTTATAAACACTAATAGTAGTTTAAAAAACATAAAACTATTTTGAAATTAAACTTTTTCAAAAAAACATTAAAAAAAAGCAAATTCTCTGTAAAGAAAAAAGGTTTTAAAAATAAATAACTATGGAGGACTCAAACTTGTAACCATACTATTCTCAAGCACAATCATACTTTTTTCCACTCCCTAAGAGCAACATCTCTTTGATAACCAGCGTTTTTTAATGGTGTCTCAAAATGATTGCTTATATAGTTTATTTCTTGCACACTGGAGTCTGAATCTTCCTTAATCCAATGAATTGGGTCAATAAACTTCATACTTCTGTAAAGTATAAGCTTTCTAGAGTAGTCTTTAAATCTACTTGATAGTAACAATGAAAGTTTTGAAAGAATTGTTCTTTTAATTTGACAAATTTGCTCAATTGATTCATTTTGAACAAAACTATTCATTTCCAGCATTACGTTAATATATGTACGATTGTCTGCATGTTTTCGTTTATCCCCAGCTTTAGCAAATGAACCTTCGACTTCACTATTGTTGGTGACCATGTAGCGGCTTATATAACTGTCCAAAAACTCGTCCTCTTTTCCAATTGATAAAATTTTGTCTTCAATCTCTAATATAGTACGAATGATTGTTGCGGGAATTTCATGAGGTAATAGCTCATTAATTTCAAAAATTTTAGATGCAGGAATAATTAGTTCCAAACAATCAAGATATAAACCTACTTTATAAAGGAACGAGTGACACTTAAATGACCTTAAAAATGTTCTTTACTTAATCTAAATAATGATTTGTCTGATTCAAATACACTGTTTATACCAGTAGTTAATGAATTTGAATCACTACCACCGAATAGGGACATATCCAATAACTCCGTGATCATGTAAATAGGTATCCCATTGCGGTCTGTTCGAACCAAAACTAGTACTTTTTCCTTTCCCATTTTTCTAACCTGACTACCATAGCTAAGAATAGAAAGAAAGTTGCACAACTTGAGAATTTCAGCACATTTTTCGCGGACGACGTCTGCACAAAATTTAATTATTTCTCTGCCTGTGGAACCATTTTCTTTGCGTCTTATCAAGCTTGGGCCACTTATTTTTGTACACCACACCTTAAAGATCTTCATTAAACTTCATTAAAAAATTATAAAAAAAAGTCATTACACGCAGCCAATAACAAAAAATTAAGTTTTATAATTTTATTTCACACATTTAAAAGCAATTTTAAACCTTACAAGAACAGAAAAATGAGTATGAGGTATTGTTGGACGGCACACCATTTCATAAGAAATTTTTACCAGGTAATGATCGGAATATTGTATGCATGTTTCTTTTAACGTCAATTGGTTGTAAAGTATACTTTTTGACGATTTTTTGGAATCAACCTGAGGTCATTTATAGAAATAATATAAATTTAGAGATAGGTGTTAATGAAGTTAATTGTATATGTATTTTATAATAAAAAGTGATTTTATCGATTTTAATTTAAAAAATAAAATTACTTATTTCTTGTTTTTAAGATTTTATGCTTTAATGTGCATTAAATATAAACTGCAACTGTATTTAAATTGGAACAAATTTTCTAAATAAAACATTTTTAACTTTTATACTTTTTGCTCCTTTGTTTTCCTCGCATCCTTTATTTTCTAATTGCGTTGCATACTGGTGAGCCGTTCCTGATCTTGAAACACCATTCTTTTTAATACAACTTGTGCCATTGATATACCGTAAAGTAGAAGCTTTTACTGCACCAATGGTTTTTGATAAAATAGTATTTCTATGATTAGCACACAATTTACGTACGATTTTAACAACATAAGTCTTCTCATTTTCTTTGATAGTTTCGATGTGAAAAAGATTCGAAACGTCCCAACTTTTAAAAGTTTTCAAGTTGACTCTTGTTGTTCAAAATGCTATCCATATTTCAACTTTAAATAATTTGTTAAGAATAGGAAGAGCTTTTTATATCTTGTATATTTTTTAAAGTTTGTCTCCATTTATATAGAAAAATAAATAGTCATTAGTAAAGTGGTTATTGATAATTTAAGGTTAATTTTTGTTTTCTAATTATTTTTGGTTGCATTAACCAAATATTATTACAGCGTGCGCGTACCTAAGAAAACCTCCATTGTGATATTACAGAAATGTTATAAGTGGAAGTCATGCTTGACACTTTTTTCAAAATAACGGCTAACTTGGTTTATAAAAAAAAATTGTTACGTTTTTCAATTTATTTGCCTAATGCGCTGTAGTAGATTTTTAACTAAACGTTTTGATTCAAAAATTTGCTTTAAACAATTTCTTGTCTGGATCCTTTATAATTCTTGTTAATATGTGGAAATTCGCTTTACAATTACTTTACAATTCGGGTAACAAAACCAGGTTATATAAACTTATTAAACTATTGACGTTTTATTTTTCAGCAGCTGTTCTTGAGCACGCTTCGTTGAGTTTCGATAACTTTTAACAAAAAAGCGATTGTTATTATTTAAGTAATTTTTATCGAGTTACTTTTTACAAAAATTTTAATAGCTGTACTTTCTTATTGAATCAAGTAGAATACATTTTAATATTAATTCTTTTCTTTTTTTATTTATTTGCGCCTAATATTTTTTAAAATATTTCCTCAAAATTACTCTTAAATACTTTAAATACGTCTAACAGTTAATAAATATTTTTAAATCTATGGAATAATTTTAAAACCTAACAAACCCCCGTAAAATAATTATTTAAGTTAAAAATCTAAAACTAAAAGAAAGTATTTTTTTTATTTTTATCGACAACTTTGCTATTGCTGAATAATTTTATTAAAATGTTAGCTTAAAAAGATTTAAACTTTTTTTTTAATCTGAATTTTTTCTACTTGTAAATAATGAGCATATTTAATTTTTCTGTAATTCAAACTTTTATATTAACAGCGTGCGGTTTTTAAAATACTTTATTAAATGTTAAAATAATCGTAAATTACTTCATTAAAATTCCGCTCAAAAATATCTTTAAATATACTCAAACAAAAAATTTTTTGCTCGACGCAAATAGCCCTAGCTACACGCAAAATCGTTCTTGGACAACGTAAAATTCACATCGCCCGACGCAATGTGAATTTTACATCGCGTCGCGATGTGAATTTTACGTCGCGTCGCGATGTGAATTTTACGTCGTCGTCGCGTATATATATTATACATATATATATATATATATATATATATATATATATATATATATATATATATATATATATATATATATATATATATATATATATATATATATATATATATATATACATATATATATATATATATATATATATATATATATATATATATATATATATATATATATATATATACATATATATATACATATATATATATATATATATATATATATATGTATATATATATATATATATATATATATATATATATATATATATATATTGTTTTTATTGTTGTTGTTGTTAAAAATTAGTTTAAAAAAAATGTAATTTAAGTTTAAACTTTTTATTATATTTAATAATAAGTTTTATATTTCATAAGTTTAAAAACATTCAAATTAAAAAAAAAAAAAAATTCAATTTATTTTATTAAATTTAAATATTTTTTTATTGATCGTAGTTTTTAGTAAATAAATTTATTAAATTTAATTAAAATTCTCTTATTTAATTTTAAAACAGAGCATATTAAAAATTTTTAATTTTAAAATGCTCCGCTTTACAATTTTTTTTTATGATGAAATTTCCTAAGTAAAAAAAGATTTAATAAATTTAATTCAAGTAACTTTAAAATGTTCGTATTACATATTACTTTATTTTAATTTCAGTTAAGTTTCAGGTAAGTTCCAGTTCCAAATACTGATCTGAATAATGCGCTGAACAAAAGCGCATTATTTATTATTACCAGTTTTTATTTTTCCAATTATTTTACAGTTTCATTCGTTATTTACAGAAGCGCATTATTCATTTTATAACTACAAGTTAATAACGTCAAAACAAAAAAGTTCTTTTAAACTCGAGTTATTAATGTTATGTTTGGGTCTTCCCTTAGCCGTTTGCCAAAGAATTTTTTTATAAAACAAACCAAAATTCAAACCTATTAAAAATAACACGATCAGTAATTAAACTCTTTAAAAGCCCAACTTATATTTATTTTATTTTAAAAACAAAACTAGTACTAGAGCTATAAATATAAGTTAAATAAATTTCAAAATTATAATGATATTTGTTAAAAACAAATTCTGCTTATAACATCTTAAAACCGAAAACACTATTTTTTTATTGGATTGAGTAAAAAAAATAGTAAAAATTTATTAGGTTTCACTCTACATAAAAATAAAATATTTTAATGGAAATAAAAAAAAAAAAACAAAGCCGAAAAGCAGTAAATTTCGTTTCTTTACAATATTTATTTTATCAAAACCAGTTAGTGCAAACGTTTTTTTAAAAAGGGAAAAACCCAATCTATGCGTTTAGTTGTAAGTACATTTAAATCCCTTTAAGAAAATCAACCATAAACAAGTGTTAAATTTAAATTATAAAAAAAAAAAATATTAAAAAAAACAACAACCATAAAACAAATGTTTGATAGCAAAAAAATTAAGCTTAAATAAGTATAAGATTTTAATACAAGAAGACTTTTTTTAATCAACATTAAAACTTTAGTTTTTTTTTTTATAACAATGTTGTTCAATTTAAAGCTATTTCGTTTCAAAGACTAATAATAGTTTTTAATGTCATTTTAAATTTAATTACAATGAAGTAAAAACGCAACTGACGTAATTTAACTTTTAACAATGTAAATATCTTTATTGAGTAAAGTTACATTTATTCACGTTTCACTTTTCTGTTACGCAGCGAAATCTCGTAACAAGGCCTGATATATATGTGTGTATATATATATATATATATATATATATATATATATATATATATATATATATATATATATATATATATATATATATATATACACATATATATATATAACTGACCTTATCCAGTTAAATCAACACACTAAAGCAATGAGTTGTAATTTGATTTCCTTATAATTAAAAATGGCACTATATAAATATATATATTTTTTGTTTTAGCGTTATTACATATACAAGAATTATTGTATTTTATGTTATATAAACAAAGTTTTCGAAAGAAACCTTTTTCTTCAAAATCAGTTAATTTTTTTACATCGTTTTTGATTTTGTTTAAATCTGCATTTTATCTAGTGAGTTTCCTAGTAAACAAAATAATGCCGGCTATATTTTAGTAATACGGCTAAATAACTGTACCATTATTTAGTTGTATTATTAAAATATTTAGATATACATTTTTTTTTAATAACTAAAAATTTAAAGATTGATAGATTATAAATTTTTGTAAATCTTTGCTCACGAAAAAAATGTGTGCTATATGGTATATCCTGAGCCGTAGAGAAGTGATGAAAAATTATTTATAAAGTATTAGCTTTAGTACAAGAGAAAGTGGTTATTAGCATTACAAAAACAGCACTACAACAATATTTTTTTTTTATGTGTCCCAAGAAGTCCTTACCATCTTATCAACTTGAATTTCAAATTGAATGTATACAATTTTTAAGATTTTCCATTCTATGTCAAATCTTTAAAAAAAAGAAAAAAGCTATAATTACAACCAACACAGAATTTACAACTATGTTCTTAGAAAATAAAAACAGTTACTAAAGTTTATAATAATAAATATTAGTTTCAACATATTTGCGGTACTCCCACACTTCAATCTAATAAAATATATTACAGGATATGGATTTGTTTTTTCTTTAAAAATTTGTGGATTTATGTTTTTTAAATAGTAGTTTAACAATTTTTTTGTTTTGTTTTGTTGGTTTGTTATTTAGGTGCATTATATTGCATTATATTACTTTTTGGGATTTGGTAAAAATTTATGAAACAACAACAACAAAAAAACAAAAAACAATGCTGTTTGCATTTTTGTTTGTTGTTTTCTTTTTTGTATTTGTATTCTTGTGTATTGTTCATTGGGCATTATAGTGAATAGTTCATATTGTTATATGTTTTAGTACATTGTTTGCATTTGTATGTATTTTTTATTTAGTTTAATGTTGCTAACTTTGTATAGTTACCTATTATTATTGTTTATAAAAACAAGTGATTTATTATTATTCTTATTATTATTATTGTTTTTGTTTTTGTTATTTTATTATTGTTATTGTTATTACTATTATTATTGTTTTTGTTTTTGTTATTTTATTATTGTTGTAGTTTTTATGTTTATTACTATAAATTCTATTTTTATTATTATCATTACTATTTTATAACTATTATTAATTTAATCTGTATTTTTGGTGTTAACTTAATATTATAAAATTACTATTTGTAAATATCCATGAAAATATTTTTCAGTATATATGATTAATTGATTGATTGATTTAATAACTGGTTTTCCATAAAAGCTTTTAATAATTTAATTAGATGTGGTAATGTTAATTGGGCACGTAGATCTACATGTAATGTTTGCAATGCCCCAAAGGTTGGACCTGAAGAAATACGAACAGGTATGTAAACTGATTTCTTTTTAAAATCTTAAAATTTGTTTTTCTTGAGCAATTGACTTTAATATGGAATGCTGTTATGTTAATCTGATATTGTCAAATGGTCTTTTGTTCTTTGTCTCCTAGAAATGTTGTTCAAAAAGAATCCCTAAAATATTGATATTACTTGTTTTTAGAGGAAAAATTAAATGAAACTATGTTCATATAATAAAAATGAGTCCTTTGTTAATTTCTCAAATACCTTCTAATATTATTATCATATATAATTTTCATTATTCTCATGTGCATATTTACCAAAATTTTGTAATTTTTTGTTATGCTTACTACATAAATGTTATGTAATTGTAATTATTAAAAAATAATATTTTGAAATTTTATAGTATATTATACCATATTAAATTTTTTTTGTACAAGTTTTTTAAACTAACCTTTAAAAATTACAAATAACTTTAGAAAATATTTTTTCAACCCTCTTTTAAAAAATCTTAATTTCAAAAACAGTGATAACATTCAGTATTATAGTCGAAATCATTCAGATTTTAGGTTGGCACCTGTAATTAGCTGATATATGATCAGAAAAATTTTGCTTTTGATTTTTTGCATCCTATTAGGAAAGGTAGGGGGTTCTTTACAATTTTTTATTAAATATTCAAAGTCCTATTTTGCAGACTAAAAAAGTCACCCCGTTCCTTGTACTAACCCCCCCCCCTCCCTTAAAGCTTATTTGGTTGTAAAGGCAGTTTAATACAGATATTGTAAAGGTTTTTGTGGTTTTTATACTGTGCAGCACAGCCATCAGAAAAATAAAGAATCTTTGAAATTTTAGGATGATATTTTTTTAAATAGTTAACTATTTGTGTTTGAACTTCATACACAAAACCAGTGTCATGCTCATTATCTTCTTACATGAAACAAAACGATTTTTCTTCAAGTTGGTCATTTTCGTTTAATAAATAGAGGGCAACAGGGTGCAATGTGCATTGACTTTTGCACCAATGGTAACTTTGGATTTCATCTTGAATCACAAAAGTGAAGTTTTCTGCAAAGTCAGCTAAGACAATACAGCAGTTTTTTGCTAGATTTTTCTTTTGTTGCTTTAGGTATCTTGATTGACATTTTGCAATGTAGGAATGAGCTGTTAACTTGTTTATTGCCTCTGATAACATCAATTTGTATTCTTCAATAGTTGTTGTCTGATAGATCAATGTTGTTCTGTTTGTTTTCTGCCACTGATTGAATGACACCTCCTCATCATTGTCATTATCAATTAGTTGTGCATCCAGAAACTTCTTTAAAGAAACCATATCTGGACAGTTCGGACATCGATGAACCATGCACTTGTTACTTGTCACATTACAAACAACTTTTGTCATCATATCTTTGTAAGTACATTTCATTTGTATAGCATTGGTCAAGAGTATTGCATTTTGATGGAGGGTACATACACAAACAGAATGAGTGCCTGATGCTCCAACAGTTATACACCATTTTGGTCTTAAACTGCAAAACTAAGAAAATCCAATAACTTCTTGAGGATATTTAGTTTTAAAAGAAACATAAAGTTCTTTAAGATTACATAAAATAAGACGCTTTTGCATGTGTTGTTTTCTACCAATACTTACGTAATCTTTTTTACCAGGCATTTGTCTAGTAAATTCTTCATCATGGTATATATTGTTGACTCTATTTAATGTTATTTCTGAAAATGTTTTTCCTTTCTTAGTGCCTGGAACTGAAAAAATTCCACTTATTTTCTTTAGTTTGCGCGCTTCTTTAATTTGGTATATAGTGACGTTGAAATATCTTGCAGCAAAATTTCTTGACCAAGATTCGGGTGTAAATGTTAATAACTGATTTTTAGTTTTTTGGTCAGAAACAATTAACTTTTCTTTTATTTCTGCTGTTAGTTTGTCTAAATCATCACATTTACTTTTGTCAATAATTTTCGTATGAGGAATTTTATGTTTCAGTTCTTCTTCCCTAACATTATATACTTTTGAAATATGCTCTTCATACTTTGACATTATTTTTATAACTTTACTTTTAGCAACAGATAGCCGTTGATGCTTTGGAATGCCATGAAGTTTTATGGGGGATACACCTATTGTTTCCAAACTAACATTTAATGCCTCTCGTAACTTTTCAGAAGTAGCACATGAAATAGATTCCTCAAATTCACAATTATCTTGTTCATGAAATTTACTGATTATAGCGTCAAAGCAGCTCCGACAAAGTTGATATCCAGGCACAACATTTGGAAAATTAATTCTCAATTGCTTTGCCATGTCTAATGTTATTATTATGACTCCCTGATAAGAAAAGAACAATTTGATTTTAGTAATTACCTATGAATATGAAAATTATTTGTACTTATTTCCATATACATTGCATAACCAGATCAGCTTTTTTTCAAACTTTTATAAACTAGTAGATTTTAATTTCATTATTCAAAAAAGATTTTACAATAATTTTTTATCAACAATATTTACTTTTGATTGCTTTTGTTTTTGATTTATGCTTGTCCAATAAATTGCAACATTTTGTGTGCTTCTTTTCAAAGTGTGTACCAAAAATCTTTTCATGATGAAGGCAGATTGTTAAAATTTTATCATCTGTTATTCCAGATCTCCAAATAAATTCTTCTCTGGCATCTTCTCTATAGCAATCAAATTTCTTTAAATCAATCTTTCTACAATAACTTAGTTTATGACAAGTATCATTTAATTTTTTTCCAAAATCACATGAATCCATTCTTACTGTAACACTAAAAACATTTTGAGATTAATTTAAAAATGAGAAACCAATAGTAATTAATTCAATGAAAACAACTTAAACAATCACCATGGTAATACAAAACTAAATAGTGATTGATTTCTTTTATCTTACTTTAACAAAAAGAAAGTTTCCATTTCACAAAGTTTAATTATAATCAATTTGTTAATGTTAAAAATGTTAATGATGACTTTAATAGGTAACAAATTTCTTCTATACTAGTGTAATGACAGGATGTTTTTTGTTACTGTAAATAGTTCTTATTTAATAAAATAACTTGCTGTTAACATTTTAGAATTAGCAAATATCAAATAAAATAATGATTTTGAAAAATTGATAAATTTCTTTTTTATTGATATAATGTTATGACAGGATGTTTTTTTCTGTTGGAAGTAAATTAAACAACTTGCTGTTACCATTTTAGCATTAAAATATATTTATCTTTTTTAATTAAAATTTTAAATTATACAAAATAAAATTCTGGTAAAACCATTATTTTAGACTGTTTTTAATCTTATACATGCAAATCAAAATTCTTATAAACATTAACTTTCTTAAAACATTTTAAGAAAGATCATTGAACATAGAATGAGCAAAAACCAAATTGAACAAATATAAATCACAAAAATTTGTGGAAGCAATTTATTTCACAAAAATTTGTGGAAGCAATGTTACCAAAGATATGTTTAACATTGTTAAAAATAAAAAAACTAAAAAAAAATTTTGAAGACAATAGTTTCATGTTTTAAAAAAAAAAAAAAAAATTTTTTTTTTGAGGAAATAAGTGGGGCATGGTCCCTGGTGCCCCAGCCCCATGGACCTTCTAGTCGTCTGACCTGAAACTATTTTAAAGCATGTTCATCAGGACTACACAAATGCTGAAAGTTTCAAAGCTCATGCTTGTCTGGAAGATACTGAAAAATCCATCTCAAGATTCCGGTCAAAAAAGTGGGGCACATCCCCCCAGCCCCCTCCCCTAGTGTCTTGGGCCTTTTTTTAATTTTAAAATGCACATTTATTGACACTACATAAATACAAAAATTTTCATCATTCCAGCTAGTCTGAAAGGTAGTGAAAAATGTATGGCAAGATTCTGCTACAAAATAGTGGGGCCTGTGCCCCGTTAACCATATATGGAAATCCATATACTTGCAGATCAAAATTTTTATGTTTTCTGAAAGATCATTAAACATAGAATAATGTGTACAATTTTTTTTTTTTATATCATCAAGGCCACATGGCTTTCTTGAGCATCAAAATCAGGTATATAAAAAATTGCCTAAATTTATTTAAATTGATAATTACAAGTACTTAAAAAAATTTTTTTACATTTCTGATTATTTCATTGGATTCTTCGACCCTGAAAATAGCCAGGTACAAATTTTTAAGTTAAAAGATCAAATATTTTTAAAGCTATGTGACTTGGAACCTTTAAACAAAGGTCACACTTCTGAGGGGACAAGAGGGGCCTGGCCAAGATCAGTTAAAAGTAAAATGATCATATTTCATGATCCTCTTGGAGCTAGAAGCTAAAATTTTCAAGGATTTTTTGTTTTACTAAGTACTCTCAACTGTATAAAAATTAGCAATATCTGAGATGTATGGTGACATTTTTGAAATTTTCTGGCTCAATTGACATGGTATTACCCATTAGCCTCATAAATACACACATATACAGACACATGCAAATACACACATACAAACACACATACAAACTTACGTTCACAAATACATATAAACACATATACTTATATCCCCCTGTATTCAATACAGGTATGTATACATTAATTGTATACAAACATAATATACACCCATATATGTAGATTCGTATATACTATACACAAATAAATGTATATACACACACGTACATATACATACACACATATATATACACACATACATACACATATACAAACATAGCATAACATAACACGCATACATACACATATACAAATATGAATACATATACACACATTTAATAATATTATATATGTATATATTATATACACCAATGCATATAAGCATACACACACACACACTCCCACACATATATATATACACATATATATATACATAAATATACACTCACCACTTATTCACATGTAAGTATCACAAACACTTAAACACAAATACATATCTTTGGATTTATTAACTGTATTTGATTAGGAAAGAATGGAATAGGTTACTCTTAAAAATATAGATTGAATGGAGAGCTTTTAGGTCATAGGGAAGGTTATTCCAAGATTTTATACTTTTATTTTTTATGGACTTATATCCATAAGTAACAGAACGATGTTTTAAGACTGCAAGATTCAGATTATCAATTGATCAAAGATAGTAACGGTTATTTGCTTTTTTTGGGAAGAAATTGTTGAAGGTAAGAGGTAGGTTTTTGTGTTGGTGATTCCAGAAAAACTTGAACAAGAATTGAACAAGGTCACATAGTTTCAGGATCTTAGAAGTAAGATAAATTAGGATTGAATTTGTAATTCTAAAAATGTATTATTTTTAAAGCTTTGGTTTTGAAGATGTTTATATCCTTAAAACTGCTTGCTGTTGAGATTGTCCCCATATTTGACAAGCATATCGTATATGTGAGCCAAAAATGGCAATATATTTAATAGTGTTTCCAGATTGACATAATGGCGAAATTTTGACAGCATTCCATTTGATCTTCTCAATTTTGTGGCTAAGTCTTTAATATGGGACACAAACGATAGGTTGGAATCAATTATAATTCCAAGATATTTGATAGAGTTTACAGGAATGATTTTCTGGCCACTTAATCTAAAGTTTAAATTTTTATTGATTTTTGTTTTATTAGATTTGAATATGACCAGTTCAGTTTTGCTACGGTTGAGAGAAAGCTTATTTTAGCGAAGCCACTGAACTAAATTAGCAAGATCATGATCAATGTATTTGTTAATTTTTGTTAAAGATTTGTTGATAATGAGCAAGTTAGTATCATCAGCAAAGTGATAAGGAGTTGCAAACTTAATTGAGTTATTAAGGTCATTAATATAGAGAAGAAAAAGTAGTGGTCCTAATACTGAGCCTTGAGGGACACCATTGGAACAACTTATTTGAGTAGATTTTGAGTCATTGACTGAGACAAAATGAGATCTGTAGTGAAGATATGAAGTAAGCCATTTAAGAGGTATTCCTCTGATTCCATAATAATCTAATTTCTTGAGTATAATAGAATGATCTGCTGTATCAAAAGCTTTTTGCAGATCTACAAAGACACATGCAAAGTTTTTATTGTCAAGAGCTTTTCTAATAGACTCAGTAATTTTAATAAGTGAGTGGGTTGTGGAATGATTAGCACAAAACCCATACTGGTGTTTGTAAAGGCATTTAAATTTATTTAAAAACGCATAGAGCCTCTTATACAAGATCAAAATATGTTTTCAAATCAATCAAACAACAAGCAATCAAATCAATCAAAATATGTTTTCTTGATAAAAAAAGATGTTAAAAGACTGCCTGAGAACACGTTGTTAATTATTTCACTATTTTCCTTTTATTATTATATTTCCTTTTATTTTTATTTTTTTTTTTTATTTTTTTTTTTTTTTGTTATTGCAGACAAAATATTTTACCTCTAAATTAATAGAAATGTTTTTTTTACTTTTGTGCCATATGTTTACATTTGCTATGCAAAAATGTTTAAGAAATGTTTTTTTTTTATTTGATACTTTTTACTGGTACTGATGACTATGTAACAATTAAAATATTTATTAATTTTTAAGGGTAGACATTTTATGATTGGGCATTGGTGAATAATGGAGATTCTATTAATGCTTTTTTTTTAAAGATATGTTGGAGCTTTTTAAAAATGTTTTTTAATTAAGGCTATGGTGGAGGTTTTAAGGAAAATGATAACATATCTTATAAAGAAAAAGAAGATTCCGATGGAGAATACGATGAGGTTTGAATTTTGTAAATACTGATTTTAGTTTTTACTTTTTTTTTTGTTTGCTTGTTGATAGTTTTCCATATTTTTTTTTAGTTTGGAAGAAAAAAAAAGCATCTGAGAGGTCAAATACCATACGTAAAGGTTTTCAATTTTTTTATAAATTAAAATGTGCTTAACATAGGAATATAAGTTTTTATTAAATTAACACCTGAAATGTTTGGACTGGTACACTCTTTTTAACATCTCTCTCCAGATTTTTTGTCTCTATATGCTGATATCAAATGGTTTGTACATTTACACTATAAATATATTCAAACTATCTTAGCTTTTTTAGACAATTTAAAATTCCTAATAAATCAAATTTATTTTTAAATATATGTTTTAACACTTGTGTACATTTAACTTTTTTTCCTCAATAAAAATAGTATTAGAGAAAGTTTGAAGCAAATTATTACAACTGGGCACTCTTCCAATTCAGATGTCAATCTATTTTGCAGAACAGAATTGAGTATTTTAATGGTGAGACTATCAATAAAAAGATTAACATCTCAAATTTATGAGCTCTTTCTACCCATTTCCACATTTAAGTAAAAAGTTATGTTAAAGTTTGCCTTCTAAGTGTATTGCCTTTATCATGGCTATGTAGCCTCACTTTTTTAAAAAAAAAACTCTGAGCAAGGCTACAAGCAACCGCTAATTAGATTCAAATTAATTTGGAAAAAAACAAAAAACAAAGAAAAGAGTGAACTGAAACCTTGTGTAACCTTAGTTAAAGACAAAGAAAGTGAACTAAAGATAACTTGTGTATTGTATGGTTTTAATTTACTCCAAACAGATGTGTAAAGTAACACTAATTAAGTTCAGAGTTAACGGAAAATAATAAGTCATTCGACATAAGTATATGTCAACTGTCAACAGACAATTGATATACTTCTTAAACTGTAAACTTGCATGTGCACATATACACACTTTGTTATAGATAATTATAAAATTTAGGCAAGTTATAGCAATGTTTAACTGTACATTTTTACATCTCTTTTTAAATTTTCGTCAGTAACTATTAAACAACCACATAGAAAAGAATACAATTCAAGAGTACACTATATATATCAAATGTGAGATGTTTGTGTGAGAGTACACAGTCTAATATTTTCATAGTGTATTTGCAGACCTCTCCTACCCCTTTACTACAAAGTTACATGGATGATCTTTATTTACTCAGAAACTTTATTTTAGTTTGTTTTTATTATTCATACAAAACTAAAACCAAAACAAAAAATCTGTTTGTTGTCGCAATTCTAAAGATAAGTACATAAAGATACCTTTAAAAACATTATTAAAAAGCAGTTAAAAGCTCATAAGTTATTATAAAAATTTCATTTAATTTTAGAGTGTCATAGATTCACCTAACAAAGAAAAAGTGAGTAATATTTATTTTTAAATAGTTGGGATATTTTTCTATAAACCATTCAAAATTTTGAATAATAAAATATATATTGAAAAAATCTTTGAGCATTTTAAATATAATTATTTTACAAACACACAAACAATTTGCAAAGTATCTTTAAAATTGTTGTTTTTTTATCATTGTTACTAATTATATTTCAGATAAATACTTTCAGATAAATACTTAAATTATAATAATTACTTTATAATTTATAATAATTACTTTATAATTTATAATAATTATAAGTTAAATACTTTATAATTTTAAAGTTTAATTGGAAGGGTTGAATTTCATTTTTCAGTTTTGAATTTGGATTATAAAATTTTGATTTTTAGGAGGATTTTGAAAAAAGATCTTTCAAAGATCAAAAAGATGACAATGAAGACGATGAAGATGAAGATGATGAAGATGAAGATGGAGGTGTTGATGTTTCAGCATATGATTTAAGTGAATCAGATGATGAAGAAATCCCAAAAAGGTTTTTTATTTCAGATGCCATTTTTTCTCGATTTGATCAATAAATATATATTTTTTTTAAGATATGACTTACATAACATAAAAATGTTTTTATCTGTTATGTTTTTGTTTTTAGTACTGATATATCTAAGAAACCATTAAAAAGGTAGTATAGCTTTTGGTATTTTAGTAAAATGTTTTATTTGTTTATATATATATATATATATATATATATATATATATATATATATATATATATATATATATATATATATATATATATATATATATATGTATATATGTATATATATATATCTCGAAATAACGACCAATCAATGATCGACTATTTTTAGGGAAATTTCAAAAAATTCAAGAGAAAATAACCTGTTTTTGTGGAAAAATTACATTTGATCGGCAAGCTTTAAAAAACAATTTTGAGCGCTGATATACATATTTTATTTGTTTATATATATGTGTATATATATATATATATATATATATATATATATATATATATATATATATATATATATATATATATATATATATATATATATATATATATATATATTTTTTTTTTTTTTGCTTTATATATATTAAAGCATTTTAACCTTAACTATATAAAGACAAGCTAAATAAAAATTTCAAAGTTCAAAAAAACCACATAGCCATTTTAAATGGTCAAAAGTTGTTGAAGCTGTAAGAAATGACTAATCTATGAAAAATGAGTTCTAATAGAAAGTTTGTTCTCAATGAAAAATTGGTAATACATAGTATTCTTAGATACTATTGTTCATGCTTTTAAATATTTTACTGTTTATTAGATCACTTTATAATTGTTATCAACTTCTCAATTAACATCAAAAGCTTCAAAATTAAACAATAACAAGTTTATTTTATGTATTTTCAGTAAACCTACAATTAACAACAACAGTGCATTTACATAGATCAATTGTATGTTAATGCTTCATTAACTTTCTATGTTGGAGAACTATTTTTGAAATCTGTTAATCAACCAGTCAAATTAAAATAGTATTTTTAAAATCTGTTAATCAACCAATGAAGTTAAAACAGTACTAGCTATTATGATTAAATGTTTTTTGGTGGACCTTCCTTTTTAGTTTGCATGACTCCTGTGTATTTGCTTGATTGGGATTCTAGTAAGTTGCTGTTGATTTATTCAATATGAAGTAGTTGCTGTACTTTGGTCTATTTCAAATGCTGTGTTAATTTGTTAAAAAAAAAACATAGTTGATTAAAAGTTTCATTTTTTACTTTAATATTTGTTTTAAATGTAACTCTTGTTTACTCTCCCTACTTTTAAATTGCATCATGCATCCATGCATACATAGTTCTATTCGCCTCCTGTTTTTGATTAAGTTTGCCTTTCAGCACAGTCTTTATGGTTCTCTCAAAAAGTTTTTAACTGGGTTAAAATGTTTTTGGGAGTACCACAACTACCTAATTCAACTTAAGATAATATTGTATAAAGTAAAATACTAATTATATTATAATTGATAATATTGTATAAAGTAAAATATTAATCAACATTTTATAAATAGAGAGATAAAATTTATAAATTGAGAGATAAAATTTATTTTCTTTATCTTGAATAGTTATTCAAGATAAAAAAAAAACAAAAAAGCTTCAAGAATTCTTTCCACTTGTGTAGATGATATGCAAACATCTTTGATATATATATATATATATATATATATATATATATATATATATATATATATATATATATATATATATATATATATATATATATATATATATATATATATATATATATATATATATATATATATATATATATATATATATATATATATATATATATATATAAAACATGCTTTTGAGAGTATATAACATGCTTTTGAGAGTAACACAGCTACCTAATTTAACTCAAGATAATTTTGTATAAAATAAAATAGTAATTATATTATAATTTGGTATAAAAGAAAAGTTGACATAATTTTTTTTGAAAAAGAATAGTTAAAAAACTCTTCAAACATATTTTCTTCGAACTGTTGCTGTTTGAGCATATATTCTTAGTTTATGTATGGCCACTTTTTTGCATGTTCTTCCCAGATAGCCGCTCAGTGTATGCACTTGCAGCTAATTTTTTATTTCAGTTTTACAATTGATTGTGTAGCTATTTGCTCAATACTATATGTGTATGTATATATTTGCGCAGTGCTATATGTGTATGTATATATTTATAAATTTATGTTTGGTTTAGATCAGCAGAATTGTATAAAGACGAAAGCAAGAAAATAAGGTATGTGCTTGTAACTTTTTTTTAAAATCTTTTTTGTTTTTGTTTTTCTGTGACACTTTTTTCATTTCTTTTATATTTAGAAAAGATTTGGATGATAACGAGTAGCTACCAATAGCCAAATGGAGTGGTACAGTAAGAAATATATAATGGGCTCCTATTTTTCTACTCTTTCAAAACTTAATAAGATTTATGAGAATTAATGAGTTTTAAATGATAAAAAAGAGTGAACGCAGTAAAGTGCAAAGTTTACGAGTTTAAAAAAAATTAATTTTAATATTTAGTTAATAACACTTTATTCCATCCTGCAGTTTTATTGGCTCTGCAATATTCTGCCTGACTCTTTTTTGTAAATATGAGTAAAATCATCATAATTCGTAAAAATTGTTTGAGGGGAGGGGGGTAAAAAGGTAATTAAAGGTATGTATCTGTCGTGTTTGAATAAATAAATTAATTTTAAATATATTTTTTTTAAGTGCATAGTGTATGTAATAAATAATTGTTGTGCAACTAACTTTAACTAACATTAGTGATTGTCTAATTTTTGTTTGTAACTTATATTTTTATAAAACATTTTTTTTAATATAAAGTTCTTTAGCTTACTAAATTTATTAAATTTTTTTATTATTAAGTTAACAATTTTGTTCACAAGGAAACATTTTAAACTCTTTTTTTTTTTAGATGAATAATGGCGTGCAAAAGGATGAAATATGATTTATATATTTTTAATTAGAAAAAAAGTATATTAACTTTTTTATGTTTGTTATTTATTTACTGTCAGATTTTCAAGATTTTATCAAAATTTTAAACTTTGTGTTGTATTTGTAAAAATTGTGTCATCAATCTAAATGAAAAACTTCTTAAAGTTCTTCAATGCTAATTTTGAGTAATAGCCTAAGTTTCAGTATTGTAATAGATTTTGCAAGTTAGCAACCTGAATGAGTTAACAATTCTGCATAGTATAATATCAGCTTATTGTTAATATTGCTACTATTTATACATTTTTTTATTGATCCTCCTAATTGTCTAGTATTTTAAATGCATATTTTTTTTATTGATCCTCCTAATTGTTTAGTTGACTACACTCAGTAGTCAATTAGACAAGCATTGACTACACTCAGTAGTATCTAGTAACTCTCTTAAAAGTAAAGTAAAATCTCTTTTAAAAAATAGACATTACCAATGCGTTACTATTAGGAAATCAAAAGTAAAATAATTTTGTTATATTTTCTAAAGCTGTTTGTGGAAAAACATTTTTACAATGATTTTATTTTCCATACCATTATCATTTTCTACTCCTCTCTTGTTTATTTAAAAATAAAAATAAAGGAGGGGAGTCATATATTTTATCTGTTTCATAACATTAAGAGTGCAGTATTAAAAAACTAAGTTATTTTATCAGTATTATTATAAAAAATTGTTGTTGATTGCAATATCACAACAGTTTACTATGATTAGGTCATTATTAAAGCTAAAGATGGTTGAGTATTTGATTTTAAATATTTGTTATTTAAAGTAATCAAATATCCTTTTGAAAGTTTTTCAACCTGAAAAAAACTGTTCACTTCAATTTTTAATCTTTTAATTAAATTCAGTACAAATTTTTTTATTACAGCCTAGAATATCCTTTGACAAGTCCTAAGTACCTTATTTAGAAGACTGTTAGAAAGGGTTAAAAAAGAAGTATATTAGTGATGTAAAATATTAAAACTATATTTTTAGTGTACATTATTTATAAATATTATGCAAGAAAAATATGGAAGCATATTTAGAAGATCATTTCGATGTTATAAAATTTATTTGTGATGCAGCTAATCATTTAGAAGTTTCCTCACAGCCAAAAATTTTGGCATGTATGCTGTATCATCAATACGTTGCATTGCAAAAAAAGTTTGAAGAAAAATGTATTGAAAAATTTGTAAGAATAATCATTAAAGTTTACAATACTTAGTTTTGTTACTAAGAAAAAAATTTTAATTTTTTTTGAAAATATGATTTAGTTAGTTGGTGCAACGTGTCTTTATTTATCTGCAAAAATTGAAGAAGAACCACTAAAAATTCGTGATCTTGTTAATGTATGTTACAGGTAATACTTGCTTTTTGTTCATTTTTTTAATTTTTGTAGTGCTTTGTTTTAGTTCATCGTGGCAATAAGAATTTTTGTTTATACTATATAAATGATTTCTAAGTTTGTTTTTGTTTGTTTTTTTTAAATTTACTTAAAATTTATCTAATATCAAAATAAAATCAATATTTTTTTGGTCTTTTTATCTACAAAAATATTTGTTATCTTAATGCTAACTATTTGTTTTTTAAATTTGACAAATGAGGTAAAAATAAAATACCGGTAAAATACAGAAGTTTTCAACTCGTAAAATGTGGAAATAAAGAGAGGAAATAAATTTCTCCTAACCCTAATCATATTGCTGCCATAATTCAAACCCTCAGTTAATGTGGCAACACTCCTTTTCATGTTCTTCTTAAATCAGTCGATGCGTGTACTGAAGCCCCCAACCCACTTACCCTATTTTCTCATTTTATTCCTGCACTTAACTTTTTAGAAATTTTTGCATTCTGGTAAAAGGCAACATTTTAAGTATTTTTGAGTGACTAAAGCGCTTTTAACTAAAGACTAAGAAACGTCTAAAATATAGTCTAAAAGAAAGCTTTCCTTGCATCTGCTTCATACTCAATGCAGTTAAGGCCTGGTACACGTTTTTTCGAATAAAAATATAAGTTTTTTCAATTACAAAATAAGTAAGTTTTTTCATCAAAAATTATGACATTTGGTATGTATGGAAAGATTATTTTAATCGCTATTATAATCTGGTAAAAGTAATGCGGCTATAACAAATCGTCAAGCATAGTTTCATTTAGAAAAGATGCAATTTTTAACATAAAGTACCTTGGGGCTTGGCTATAGATAAGTCTATGAACTTGATTTTTTGATAAAAGCAGGTATTAGTGTTTGTTTTCAATGAATATAACTTGACATTTATAATCAGAAATTATTTGGCAAAATTATCAATGAAAAACCATTTTTTTTATGAAAATTGAAGTTACTGTTTTCAATAACACACCTAAATGAGTATTTTAAACAATAATGTCACGTTAGATTTAGACAACATATGGTAGTGTTAATTTTTCTACCAAAGTCGTTTTTGCATAAATAGTCATAACTTTTAGCCTTATTTAAAAAACTGTTTTCAGTATTTAGTATCATTTTTTGAAATACTCAGGACTTTTTTGGCCATCTTGAAATAATAAATTATTACTTTCAAAATGCGTAAACAATTAAAAAAAGGGAAATTTTTATAAATAATTAACATTCAAATCAAATTCTTTGTTTGCATAAATTAAATGCCAATAAATAAAAAGTTTTTCAGTTTGCCACTAACAACTAATCGGATTTGTTCTAAATTATGGGCTTTTTTTTTTTACGAGTTTGTTTGTTCTATGCCTTAGTTGCATTGAGTAGTTGTCAGCTGTTTTAAATGTAAATAAGAACAATAAAAGGCAAATACATATTGATTTCTATTCATTTATTCAAACACTCAACATATTATACTTTAACTTAGCATGATAGCTTTAACTCTTAACCTGATTTTGCTACTTATTTATAAAAAAATTATTTAAATTGAATTGATTTGGGAAATATTTTCTAGAATACATCATAGTAAAAATGAACCATTAGAAATTGGAAAAATGTATTGGAACCTAAGGGATAGCATAACCACATGTGAACTTATGTTACTTAGATTATTCAACTTTAAAACATCGTTTGAAACACCATTAAAAGTGAGTATTTTTATTTGAATTACTTTTAACAGTGCTTCTGAAAAATTGTTGTAAAATATTTTTATTCTTTTTTAAAGTATTTAGTTCATTTTATGAAGCTTATACATCATTGGTGCAATAGATGTATACTAAATAAAGCCAACGTTTATCAGATTTGTTTTAATATAATGAATGATCTGAGTTACTTACCATTAATTTGTCATTATTCACCAGAACTTCTAGCAGCATCTGTTATATATACTGCTTTCCAAGTATTAGCTTTAGAAGTTCCTCGTGATATTAATTCTAAAGAATGGTTTGAAGTAAGAGTTTAATCTAATTTTTTTTTTGTATTTATTTAAATATAAATATGCTATTTTATAAATTTTGGTTTTTAGATTTTCTGTCCAGGAACTATAGAGGAAAATTTACAGTCAATAAGTTATGAAATCTTATTGCTTTATGAATTTGATCGAAATGCATACTCAAGAGAAATTTAAATATATATATATATATATTTTTTCCATTTTTTAATGGGATTCAAAATATTTTTAAGTTATTGAAAATTAAAAGTATATAAATTTACTTTATATACAAACCAATTCATGATATGTATGTGTGTGTGTGTGTGTGTGTGTGTGTGTGTGTGTGTGTGTGTGTGTGTGTGTGTGTGTGTGTATATATATGTATATATATATATATGTATATATGTATATATATATATATATATATATATATATATATATATATATATATATATATATATATATATATATATATATATATATATATATATATATATATATATATATATATTACAACAATAAAAAGATATAAAGATGTGTTATTGTTAAGTTAAGAAATACAATGACTGTGTCAATACTTGTTGGACCTGTTCCAAGCTTAAGGCCCAAAGTTAAATGGAAATTAATTGTCTAGTGATGTATTAAATCTCAATTATTTTTTTGTTTCTTATCAAAAATAATACACCACTATTTAAAAGTAGTGGATTACTGTTGATACAAAATGTTGCTATACAACACATATCTTTAGTATATTTAATAATGAATAACAGGTTGTGAAAAAAAATAGATATGCAATGTCTGCAACAACGATTGACTAGTGATAATACATGTAACTTCAATGGATAGAAAATAATTGAAGAACTTATATTTTTATAAAAAAATATTGTTTGTAATATACCATAAAATGTTTTGGCTTCAGAAAATTTGCCCATGTAGAGTATGAATCTTTAGTTGATTTTTTATCAGCTTAGATAAAAAAAATTGTCTTAGATGTTGAAGAAATTTTAACAATAATATTGAAGAAGTCATAAGAATGGAAAATAGTGATGATGGTGGTGGTGGTGATGATTATGACAATAATGATGATATCTTTTAAGAAAAAAGTTTATTTATTAGTGTCAAATTTATTTCTGTTTTATTTGAATAATTTTTTTTTTTTGTATTTTAAAATTTAACTTACCATAGACTACGATAGTTACCGAGATTTTAGGTGTACAACTGATAACTTGTTGCATACAAATTACAGCTTAATGGGTGCTTGTTATACACATATTGAAAGGTTTTTAAAAAAATTTATAGACAGCAAGGTATAATGCTTTTGTATCTGCATAAATAGTCATAACTTTTAGCCATATTTAAAAAACTGTTTTCAGTATTTAGTATCATTTTTTGAAATACTCAGGACTTTTTTGGCCATCTTGAAATAATAAATTATTACTTTCAAAATGCGTAAACAATTAAAAAAAGGGAAATTTTTATAAATAATTAACATTCAAATCAAATTCTTTGTTTGCATAAATTAAATGCCAATAAATAAAAAGTTTTTCAGTTTGCCACTAACAACTAATCGGATTTGTTCTAAATTATGGGCTTTTTTTTTTTACGAGTTTGTTTGTTCTATGCCTTAGTTGCATTGAGTAGTTGTCAGCTGTTTTAAATGTAAATAAGAACAATATTGTTCAAAGTAAAAAGAGTTATTTAATAATAGTATCAACTTTTTAAATTAAGGTATTTTAAAAGATAAAATTTGATTTTGAATGTGTATACAATAGTATACACATTCAAAATCAAAGTTTTATCTTTTAAAATACCTAATTTACATGTTTAAAGTTATGTTACAAATTTTATAGTATTTTTAAAAAATCTTTGTTGGTTGTTACGTTACGCTGATATTTTTCTCTGTAAAATTATCTATCTATTTATCACTGATATTTTTCTCTGTAAAAGTGTTTGTTAATATAAAGGTATTTTGATAAACATGTAATTTAATTTATGGTTTGTTAAGGATAAGCTATGATTTACAATTATTCAATAATTGTAAATCATAATTATAACACAATAATGTTGTGATATGTGAGTATTTTAGAGTCTTGGTTGAAAAAGTTATTTGTTTTTCTCAAATCCTTTTCTTAAGCTTGTGGATTTTGACTTCATCGTTCCATTAAAACTATATTTAAAAAATTTATGTATTAAATATGGTGATTTTTTTTTTTTTAACATTTTTATTTAAAAGTATATTTCTTGGATTACAAATACAATAGCCAAAGTATATTTTATATATATATATATATATATATATATATATATATATATATATATATATATATATATATATATATATATATATATATATATATATATATATATATATAATTAGAGAGAGTTAATGAATAATGCTGATTGTAATATGTAGCTTCTATTTATTATATATAATAAAAAAAACGATGTAAGACTTTTTCTCTCAGTACATCTGAGAGAAAAAGTCTTACATCGATAAGACTTTTTTTGATTGGTATAGCATATCAATCAAAAAGTTTACTTTCATTAAGCAATAAAAAAAATTTTGTTAATATATTGCTGTTAATGCAACAAGTATTCATGATCATAAACTTAATAACAAAAGATTTTAAAAAGTTAATGGCATTTCAATTATTCTGCTTTTTTAATGTAAACCCGACTACGTTTTTTGTTCTTTTGTTAAATTCTTTTATAAACCTCTTTTTAATAAAGTCTATTATTAAAGAGATAAGTGTAATTTCATTTAGTTTTAAGCATAAACTCGATTGTTAGATTTTTATGCTATACATTGTTTTTTTGTTTTGTTTTTTTTTTGTTTTTTTTGTATTTGTTTTTTTATATTCTAAATCGCCTAGCTTTTTTATTTATTTAAGTGAAATGTATTTAACTATAAAACGTTTTGTATCTTGCTTAAGTTAATTTTATTTTGGATTTAAGTATTGATTAGTATCTTTTTATTTAAGTTAAATGTATTTAAAATATCAACTAGTGCTGAGGCAATAATGTCGGCTGTACACATTCTGCTATACATATTTATTGCGATTATAATCCTGTTATGTGTGTTATCAGCACTTGCTTATTTGTGTTACGAATGTCAAGACATATGCCCGAAATATAGTTTGGTTAACAAAAGAAAGTTACTAATCAGTGAAAACCACCAGCTTCTTAAATATGGAATTCCTGATAGTGGAACTAATGTTGACCATTCAAGTGGTACAGCTCGATTAGTTAATGTTCAGTCTACGAACTGTACTGATTTTGTACCAAGCAACACTGAAGAGCATGCTAGTCATTTAAATGAGTGCAACCTTCAACCACCACAATCGTTTAACGCTTCTCATAGTAAAGAAATCAATAAAATTTCTCAGAACCATACACAGATTTTGCATAGTAACGATATTGACAAAAAGACTTCTCCATCTCCTTTTGAAATAAATGAAAACGTTCAAGAAACAATAAAAGATGCAAAGGTATTAGTTACTCAACAGAAACCGCCTGTTGCTGTCAAACCTTTAGTTCATTTGCCTTCATCGCAACGACATTCTTATATACAAGAAACGGATTTTTCTATAATACAAAAAGCTGAGAGTCAACCATCATCTCAATCGAATTCATTACGAAAATCTTTAAAAGCTAAAGCGCCACCTCCTCCGCCACCGCCAACATACAACGACAACGATTTTCCACCACCGCCTGTTTTAAGTGAAACATCTCATCTCCATGATTTGCGTACAGAAAATTATTTATACGACGATTAATTGTTTAATTTTAAACACAAGTTTGTGTTAAAAATATTAAAAGTTCCAAAAATTTGAATCGAAAATTTGAGATTCTATAACCTTTACATGATAGCAACCAACTTAGCTATAAATCTAAAACTTTAAACTCAAAGAAAATTTAGTTCAAAATGTCTTAATGCTTAACTAGGTTGCATATACTATGTTCATCATATTTTTGTAAAAATACTCTTTATACTTTTTTATACTAAAATTTAAAAATCTTTGATTATCGGACTTTTATTTCTTAATTTGTATTGGTCTTATTGTTAATAAGGAAAACCAAAGCACTGGTTTGTGGTATTACTAAAAACCATTGAAATCAAATTAAAAACCGCATCTTTAAATTTATTTCTTATGGTTATTTTAAAACTGAAAACTATGACAAAAATAAGATAGTTTTACACTTTGTAGAGTATTTCTATATTTTCAGATATATATTTATAGTTTCATATTTAGACAACCAATATTTTTTTAAATCCAACTTGATATTTTTGGATTCTCTTTATAATTTTTGATAGTGCATTATTAAAGATGATAAACTCTGAAATTTAAAATTGCATATTTTGCAGAATGAATTTTTTTGGCATTCTGCTCTTCAAACGTATATATTAATTTGAAATCTGAAATTTACCCGCTCGCCTCAACCTTTTGCTGAGACAGAGACCTGTTAAGTATTTAAATTTGATTTCTGGTTGTATTTTTTTTAATCAAAATATGATCTTTTAACTTGCGAATTTGAATTCCTTGTCTGAAGATTAACTTAGATACTTATTTTTAGCTTTAGCTTTTTAGAGGATTTGTTTTATAAGGAAAATTTTAAAACATTCAGCGGTTAAAGTGGTGATTGTTTGAATTTTGGCTAGTTTTATTGTTTTGGTCATATTCCGCCAATTTTTAAATTTACATTATTTCTTATAAAATCAATTCTTCAAAAAATAAAAAAGCTAAAAGTAGTTAATTTAGTTAATCTTCAGGTAAAGAATTCAAATACACAAGTTATAAGCTCAAATTTAAAAACAATCAGAACGCAATTTTAGATATTCAAATAAATAAATTATGGCCCAACCAAATTGTTAAGGTGCGCGTTGATTTTTTAATCTAAATATTTCAAATAAAATAATATATAATGTTTGGATTACAAAATGCAAAAAACATTTTTTTTTTTTTCAATCAGAAAAAATGTTCAGATGGGTCATGTGGATGAATAAACTTAATTTATAAATCATAATACTCTTTATCTTATTTCCAACTGAGTCAACAATCGAGTCGTGCGTACATATTTGTGCTTGTACATTAGTTCAAAATTTAGTGTACTTTCATACTTAAATTTTTCTTTATATTGCTTGTATTTTGCTGCAAATGTTCTTAAGTAACATGTTTTTGATGCAGGTATACAATAGTGAAATCTTTGAGTT